TTGAGGACATTACAATAAAATTAATAACCAATAAAAGAAAACTGATATCTTTTTTCTTTTGTGATAATAGAAAATAATATTCTTTGTTTTTACAATTTTCAACTTTTAATTAGAAATGGGCCTTATTACCAGTTCCAGCCCAAGGTTTTGAGATTGATTGTGCTGGGCTTCTGGTGTTGTCTTTCCCAGCTAATTAACCCGATGAATCAGGTCTTCTTGTGTTATGGCCTTATTGACCGTTTGACTTCCCTTCACTAACCGTAGGTAACAATGGAACTCACTGCAGTAATTAATCAATTTGATTAGTCTCATGCGAGTTGGTTGCCTGCAGTGTATCCTGGTAAGAACAATAATAAAATCATATATAAACTAACGTTTAATTATATTTTTCTATAGTTAATGATAACAATATATTTTATTGGGTACTGCTAAATTCATTAACTAAATTATTATTCCCACCAATTTTTTAAAAAAATTATCAATACACCCTTCACTAATATGTGTTATAAATAATTATTAGCAATAGGTGAAGGATGTATTGGTAATTAAATAAAAAAGTGGTGGGAATAATAATTTGATTGATAGATTTAGCAAGTAGCTTATTTTATTTAGTATTCAAGATTTTAAATTACATATTTTATTAGATACTAAATATAAAAGTTTAAAATATTAAAGTGCTGTTTAGTAATCAGAAATAGAGTGGTGGGAATAAGAATGAAAATTTTATTCCCACACCGTAGTCGTTTGGTTAAAAAGAATAAAGTGAAAATGAGAACCAAGAGTGGGAATGAGAATGAAAATTTACACACAAATTCATTCGCATATAAGATGTGGGAATAAAAATAAGGAATGAGAATAAATTTTTTTTTCAAAATAATAATATATTTTATTTATTTATTGTCCGTTAACTACTTTTACCACCATTACCACCACCAACAACACAAGCAGCACCACCACTACCACCACTAGAACCTAACCACTATCAACACCATCACTTTTATTATTTTTATAATTATTATAGTTTAATAAAATTATTTTTTAATCATTATTTTTATTTGTATAAAAAATCGATATTAGAAAATTTAAGTTGCATTCCGATTCCTCGTTAGTATTCCAAACACAAGTATAGGAATATAAATGTCATTTCGATTTCTTAATTTTTATTTTGATTCTTGCATTCTCATTCCTACCGGTCTATTCCCGATACCAAACAACATCTAAAAGCTTTACTTGTCTACGACTAGTCGATTGTAGAGCAATAAAAAATAATACATCAAAAAAAAAAACTAATTTTTACACTATTTCAAAAGAAAAAAATTTCGGTATTGTTTATTGATGTCAATAAACATAAAAATAAATAAATAAATTAGTTTTGAAGAATTGAAAGATCGACCAACTAGGCAAAAAGCGCTAAGTTAGTTCTTTAAAAATTAGTTTAGACTATACTAACATACATCCCGCATGTTGCCGTCGGGTGAGTTATACAACATTGTTATATGTTCATTCATATAAAATACAAAATTCAAAAATAATTATTTAAAAGGATCATACAGGAAAAAAAAAGAACTAAAACATATATCTCATATTTTGTCGTAGGGTTAGCTAAACGAAAAGTCCGTAAAGTTAAGTAATATAAAGTTGCTAATTAGATGTTATTTCATATAAACATGTATTTTATTATAAATGTGTATAATAACTGGGAACTAAAATAATAATATGGTAGTTTTTTAAATTTTAGATGATTAATTTTTACTATATATTCTTCATCCGTAATTTATTAATGAGATAGAGAGACCACCCAAAATAAAAAGATCAAAAAAACTTATTCAAATCAAGAATTTGGTAAACAAAATAGAGATAAAATTACACACGATAAAAATTAAATGATCAAAACAAAGTAAAGATCATAAAAGAAGAATCAAAATTTTTTTAAAAAAAAAACTTATAAACAATAAGACAAAAAAATTCATTATGCATAAGGCAGGAATAAAAGTTAAATATGATAGAATTTTAATAATCAAAATAAAAAGATTCACAAAATAAGAACCAAAATAGAAAATGTTTTTACTAAAAGCCAAAAAAAAAAAAAAACCTTATAATAGTGAAACTCGTATTTAATTTTAGTGTAGAAAAAATACTAATCAAATATAATAAAACTTCAACGATCAAAATAAAAACCAAAACATAACAAAAAGTTTTACTAAAAGTAAAAAAATAGTTCCTTGTAAGAAAAAAATCAAATATAATAAAAATTTAATTATCAAAATAAAAAATAATTACAAAATAGGGACTCAAACAAGAATAAAATTCAACTAAATTTGATGAACGAACAAAGAAAAAAATCACAAAACAAGAATTATAATAGAAAGAAAAGTTTCACTAAAAGAAAAAAAATTTAGGATAGTGAAACTTTATTTAGTTTTAGTATAGTAACGATAAAATCAAACATGATAAAACTTTAATGACCAAAATGAAAACATATCACAAAATAGGAAAAAAAAAGAACATAAATTTTTACTAAAAGCAAAGAAAAATATTTATTATAGGGACAAAATCAAATATAATAAAATTTTAATATTTCTTATAGGGACAAAAATCAAATATAATAAAATTTTAATGATCAAAAGGAAAAAAAAAGTTATAAAACAGGGACTAAAATAAAAATAAAGTTTATTAAAAGTCAAAGGAGGCCTTAGAGGAAGAAGAGGAAAAAAAAAACGAATAGTTAATAAATAGTGATTATGGAGACAAAATCAAATTTAATAAAATTCTAATTATCTAAAGAAAAAAGGTTACCAAATAGGGACTAAAATAAAAATAAAGTTTATGAAAAGCCAAAAGAGACCTTGGCCGAAGAAGAGGAAAAAAAAAAACTAAAAGTCAAAAAAAGACTTGGCAAGAAAAAAAAATTAACAGTTAATGAACAGTAAAATGTTACATTAGTTTTCTGTTTTATTTTAGTATTTCTTATAAATGGAGGATGAAAATAAAATAAAGTTCTAGAGACGCTCCTTGTTGCAAGTATTTTTTTTTCTTACTTTCTTCTTCACCTTCTTCTTCTATTTTTCTTTTAACTTATTATTACAAATTATGAAGAATTTTTGTTGTTCACAAATATTGATTCCTACTAAATGCTAGGAATTATAGTGAGAATATTGAGCAATATAGAAAATTTTGCAGTATTGGTCCTATTGTTTTAACTTCTGGAATATTTTCAATGACAAATTTTTAAATAAAAATTGATTAATTAAAAATTATTTAAAAGAAAAAAATTAAATTAATGATCGAGATACACTTAAAATATTATGACAATATTTTTTAAATATTAAATTGGAAGAGATAGGGTTATATATTATCTTAATCATAATGCAAAATATGGTAGTAGAAACATTGGTGAGTACTTGAACCAACAATATGGACTAAATCGTAGCAAAAAAAACTAGTACAAAGAAGATTTATAAATAAGAGGTTCGAAGTGGAGATTTCTTGGGAGAAGGAAAAACACTAATGCAAATGGATTATTTTAAAGAAAGCAATTCTACAAATATCATTTAAAAACAGTTTCAAGTAGCCAATAGTAAATATTGGAATAACAACCTTTAAAAAATAGTATAACTAGCTAGCCAAAATGTACATCTATTTTCTTCATGATAGATGTGACGAAGTGGAACCTCCAAAAGACGACATTGCTGCTACTAGACTAAATAATACTCCTTTAATATTTTTCTATTTTTTAATTTTTTTAAAGAATACTTCTAAAGTTTTGGAGATATTTCCCTTCTCTTGTAATTTACTTCTTATTTTTAAGGCTTAACGAGTCCAAAAAATCACGAATTATACATTTTTTTAATAATTTTAGCCCGTTCTTTGAAAATTATATAGAAAGGTTATCAATTAAGCTTACGATAACAATACTAGCACCGATTTGATTTTTCGATCAAAATTCCGTTTAACGTTAACATGACGAGTTTACGTAAGCATGACACTTGAACTTTAGTAAGCCACGTAGTATCCACATAAGCGATTACGTGAGAAATCAATTACGTGGATCCTATGTGGCTTATTAAAATCCATGTGTCATGCTTACGTGGATCTTACGCAATTTGCTAATGTCCACATATTATGCTCGTCACTTGTCATGTCAATGTCAATCGAAATTTTAATCAAAAAATCATATCGTTGCTAGTATTATTATCAAATGCATAGTTGGTAACTTTTTTATATAATTTTTAAAGAACGAGTTAAAATCATTAAAATGTGTATAGTCCATGATTTTCTAGAATATTAAACCTATTTTTAACGTGGCTGAGATTTCGTTTATTAATTATTGAGACAAAAAAATATGAGTAGTATTGATTTACAAAATGGCATCTCAAAGGAAGAAAAATAACAAAGATAATTAGTCAATGGATTACCATATGCCAAGTGCGTAATTGGTGGATGTATACCATATGCCACTTAGTATATTTATTTATTATTATTATTATTATTTTACTTTTTTGCAACGTATTTGGCAGGTTAAACAAAATTCTAGCTAGTTTCTACTGATGATGCTCCTTTCAGCAGTAGTTGGCAGTCTCTGAAGTCTGGATTACTTGTGCCATTGAAGAACTTAGGCAAAGTCATGTTTTAAGGGGGATTGATCATGAGTCATGGCATCATGTTAGCCAGACTGTAAGGATAAAAATCCCATCTGTACTTAGCATTGATTTGGAAACTTTGATGAATGTCAACCAAAAAAGAAAGTCCAAAATTTCAACCAAAAAGAGAAGGAGAAATACAATAAGTAGCTTAAGGAAACAGAGCTTGAAAACGTGTGCACTGCCTCAAATCATGGGAAGCCAAAGGAGAGTTTTGACTCCATTCCAAGCCAGATTGCTTATGGAAAATATCCAAAGCTCTCACATGTGAATGACCCTACATGACTAACACTACTAAAAGCTGCTAATTCTTTTTTTTTTTTTAATAGCAAATACACAGAATCGTTAGGTCCAACTTTCCTAACCACGTTGAAAAATGACCTCAACAGCAAGCTGTTTTTGATGGGTGGATTCATCTTCATTGAAACAACGATGGATTTTCAGTGGTCTTGCCATATTTAGAGGGTTGTCTACAACTGGCAGAGGAGATTGAATCAACATCTCTCTTTGAAGGTAAGAGCAGTAAGTGTGGAAGGTGGCTGGTGTCACATTTAATTGGAAGCCTAAACCAAATAAAAAATCCACTTCAAGAAGATTCATCTCTGCGATGCTAATTCCTCCAACTTTAGCATAGAATGCATTATTGTAATATCTGACCAACAAAAAAAAGACAGAAACACATTAACATCAAAAAACACTTCCTTTATCGGCTACGTTAGTACTGTTCTGTATAGTCCCCAATTGAAATGAAGGACAGACAAACTACCAGTCTACCGCCGTGCGTTTGGCAGTCAATAGAAAACAGCAAAGGCCCAAGTAGGGTAGAGTATTTAAAATGGCCCAAAAAGGAATAATAAAAAGAAAGGAGGAAAGAAATACTACAACATGCTTTGGCTTTAAACAAAATATAGAGGTTTGATTGAGCTGTCCCAGACCTGACCCCTCTCTATAATGATAATGACACATGCTTCCAATTTGATGGAAATTTACACGCATGATGCTTGAACAGACAGAGACAATAACACCACAAACTCAGGTGTTATTGTCGAACAAAAGCCAGAGTTCTACACATGGGTGTCTTTTTCTTGGCTGTCCCTGATTCATGTGGGATATTTTGCCATTCCACTTGCATCTAGTTTTGTGTATAGTAGTACATTGTGGTTAATTCAGAGGATTTCATCAAGTTGCTGCCCTCGTTCTATATCATTGGAATATTAAGTCCAATTTTTTAAATCAAAACGCTGGCATAATCTGGCACGGCTAATTTCAAGCAATGGAAATATCCCACCGCTTAAAATATTATATGTAAAGAACAAAAGTCTAAGCTTCAAATCATAAACAAGTTGTAAAGTGCAAGACATAGAATTTCATTTAAGATAAAGGAAATGAATAGTTCCTTTTTCTTTTCGGAATTGGACAAGACTTGAACTTGAGGCCTAATTAACCTATCTTCTGATGACCTCTCCTACATTATGGAGTTGAATGTCATCAAGATAAAATAAAGAGAAGGAAAGAATTCCAATCAAGAATCCTTATGTCAGGACTAAATTCAATATGGTTGAACATCAAACTGGAATCCACTTATCAAAGTTAAACCCCAAATCAGGAACAACTATAAAAACCCAGAAAGAATTCACCAAAAAAAAAAAAAAAACTAAATAAATTAAATATCATAAAAAGCTAAAATGATGAGCCCAAGATGTGAATTTTGAAGATAACTTACATATCATCCATGAACTTGACAGAGACCAAGACACTTGTGATAAGCAGTCTATGCACATTGAAAGAATTGAGAGGAAAACAGTACTGTCTCTGAGCAAACCGATCGAGATACACATAAGCAACAACAAAACAAGAGGGACTACAATTTGCATACTTGAAGATTCTCTCAAGATAGTTTTGAATGGATATAGTAGGTCTAGTTAGGCCATGAAAGATTGAGACTTTCTGGGGGTATAACTGATGGCTAAGATCATTAGATTCTGCTACTCTTTGAAGAAGAGAAGAGAGGAAAGTTATGACCTTAGGCATCACTGTATTCTCTGCTAATTCTTCTGCCATTCTTGTTTGGTTTACTTTGTTTGTTGTGTGTTTGCTGTGTTTTATACGACACCTCCTGCCTTCCCTTTGTATAGCGTGTGTCAAACGGTTCTGGCTACTATTTTTTTTATTTCCTTTCCAAGTCCAAGTTTACTATGTCGGAGACGGTCTCTAAGCTAAGTTGGCCGTCATTTTAATACAACGAGAGAATTCAATTTACAGGTATCTCCCAAGCTTTTCGAACAAGATATACAAATTTTAAGAGAATAACATAAAACTATTTATGAGCCTCAATTAAAATATTAAATTTTTGAATTAAAATAATTCTTTAATATAGTATCACAATGTTGATGACCAAATAGTCACGAGTTCGTATTTCACCATTCTCATTTTTCTTTTAATTAACTAAGCACAAAATAGTATGAGTTTATATAAATTTCAAACCAAAAAAATTTTCACTTGAAAAGGTGTGTTATAGAGTAATAAAACCATTTATAAAGCTTCACGTAAAACATTAAGTTTTTTTATTAAGATAATTCTTTGATACATAGGTTGAGGTAGTATTTCGAATCAACTTTCATACATCAAGACTAAATTTTAGTATATAAAATTAACTTTTAGTGGCATTTATTTTTTAAAAAAATTATGATAAATATATGTTATAATGGCATTTCATAATTGTCATTACTCGTATATCTTTAGCAGTATTTTTCATAATTTTAATGGCAAATGTGGTGTGTGTGTGTGTGTGTGTGTATCAGTATGAGATATAAAGGCATTTGTTTTCAAATATCATTAAATTTTAATGACATTTGAAACGGTTGCCTTTAGATCCAACTAGTTTTTTTATTTGCGCTATGCTACGGGTTGGATAAAATATATAAAATCGTTTAGATAAATCATTTCAATTTGATAATTTGTTTTATAATGTGAATCTATAAAAATATATGAAATTAAAAGTGAAAAAAATTATATAATTTTTTAATAAAAAATGTTGTATTTAACTATTTCTTATTTATGTTTTTCATAATTTTTTCTTTCGAAAAAGGATTTATCCTTGTTAATCTATGAATTATTAACTAAAAAAAATTAAATAATTTTTTTAAAAGCTTTAGTATTTCATAAGATTGTGTTGAAAAATATAAATAACAATTATTAAAAGCTTACATAGAATTGAACAAATAATTTTTTTTATTTAATGTTGATGAGAATATCGATTTTTGAAAAAATATGAATTAATTTTTATATATTTGTTTATAAAAGAATGAATAATATTAAAATAAAAAAACTATATTAATTTGAATCATTGAGTGGTTAAGCCAAAATATTATTTTGATTATTTAATTCATAAATAAATAATAAATGCTTAGTGTAGAAAAATATTATTATTATAATATGATCATAATAATAATAACATATGACTATATTAAAAAAATGACAAATTAAAGTAATAAATTCTAAATAATAAAATTAATTAAAAGAAAAAACTAAAACAAAATATAATCAAATCACAATACAATTAAAGTTTGAAATCGAAAAAAATAAATAGAAAAATTAAGGACCAAAGTGCTAAAAAAATTATATGAATAGTGAAATGAATAGTGATTTGTGAGTATATGAATAGTGTTTCAAATAACGAAAACGAATAATAAAACCATGTTTTACTTTAATTTGTTATATAATGTATGTAAAATTCCATCATAATTGATATAAATGCCTTTGAAATTAATTAAATTCCGCTAGACATATATAATAAAGATAATTGCTAGAAATGCTATTATAGCATGTACTTACAATGACATTTTACTTAAGTGTTGGTAAAGTTATGTAACAATTGCTACTAAAATTCCATTTTGTAGCACTGTGTAGGAGATTAGGTGGAATTCTTATGCCTACATCCTCTCCAATCTGTTCAAACTTCAAAAGTGATTATCCATATTAGTAGGTGTGATCATTCAAACTTTCGGTTTGATTTTTGTCAGTTTGAGTTCAATTTTTGATTAATCGAATCTATTAAAAAAATGAATCCAAACTGAATTACTATTCTATTTTTTGTTTTAAAAATTGAAATTTTGGTTTTTGACATCGATTTATTCTATTTAAACTGAATTTTTTTTATTTTTTAAAATAATATAAATAGACCAAATACATTATCAATCCATCATATATTTATAATATGTTAATATATTAATTTTTTGATTTATTTGTATTATTTTAAAACTTAAAAAAATCAAAAAGAAAATTAAAAGAAAAACAGTTTTCAGTTTAAACTGAACCAAACTAAAAAACTGGAAAAAAAAAATCAATTTGTTTTTTTTTTAATGAGTTAAAAATTAGATCGAACTTGATTTTTCTCCCTATGTATTAGAATTAGAATGTTTAAGAGAATTTTACTCTTTTTATAGTTTGGAGCATACCCTTTCAAAGGGTAAATCACTAACACATGGAGAATTGGATGATGGTTACGTTAATTATTTTTTTAAAAAAATTGTTTTGAATATTTTTGCATTTTATTATTATAGTACACCCATAGATTTTTTAACATCAAAATCATGATAGAGATGTTCCAACACGTAATTGGATTCAACAAGTGATGACATATCAAAGGTGGGACTTTGAGTAAATAGGGATAATAGAGAATTAATAAATGTCTAGCTTGTAAGGACATCGATCTAATATGCTGCTTTATCTTTATTGGTGGATGAGGTTGGCAGGAAAAAGAATATCATGACATTTACGTCCCCACTGGTTAAATTTTGTTTCTAATCGTACAAGATTTGGGTTGGAATTTTAAGTTTGAGAGGAAAAGTTGGTTCATTAATTAATAACAATAATAAATGATGGAGTATGTATGTCAATGGTTCGTGTGAACAAGTTTGCATAGTCCTGTATGGCATGGAACTCATAGTTCAATTAGAGGAGAGTATGTATGTACAATTTTTTTTTTTTTTTTATCTCTAGGCTATTTCAGATCTAAAGATTCAAAGTAATTTCTTATTATCCGATCAGATATATAATATAAGTATAATTATATAAAAGGTTTTTTATATAAAAATTTGAAATCAAAATTATTTTTTTTAAACGATTAGAGTCTATTTTGATCAAACAAATTCTCTAAGATTAAGTGTATATGTATTTTCTTTCATAATTTTGAAATACTATATTTTCAATCTTAATTTATGAAAATTGAAAGTTGTCCTGAATGCGTCAATTTGGATTATAGATTGCATGTGTTAAGATCAAAGTGAAAATGAATTAAGTCTTTGCAAAAATTGGTCCAACATGAACATTCTGACCATTTAAAGAAAAATTTGCGAAGCATTAATTGCAAACACAACACATACAAAATGTGCTAGGCTTTCCGGGAGTTAATTATAAACCAGACTCTCTATTTAAAAAAAACGAATTAATTAATTTTTTAAAGATTAATTATTTAGTCTGTTTATCAATATAAATCATATTTAATTTAATATTATTTTATTTTAAAAAATATTTTTTTCACACCAGTCTTTCCATAATATTTTCTTTTTCCTTTTCTATTTAATTTTTTTAAATATAAAATTGATAAAAATAATTAAATAATTATTTTTAAAACAAAAAAATAATTGATTAATTTTTTAAAAAACAGAGAGAATAATTTATAATTTGCTCTATTTTTTCAAGAAAAAAAGAAGTAAAAATTCAAGACTTTCTCTGGTCCTAATTAATTTATGCATGCTGTATATAGGAAAATAGTTGGAGTGAGATTTAGGCAATGGGGGAGATTTGCTCCTAATAAATAATTAATTAATATTGAGTTGGTTAGGTCTAATTAATTAATTAAACTTCTTTTGTGTAATTGTGTTTTCGTATGATATGTTTGTTGAGGTAGAGTGTGGGAGGGACATTAATTTGGGAACTGCTAATGGAGCCATGATTGCCTCTAAAGATTGGAGTTAGCTTCTCATAACCCAAAAGTTGAAGAGTGAGATCATGACTTCACTTACAAAAGAAGAAAAGGTTATTTGGTCTATATATGTAGACTCAAATATTTGGTTGTTAGGAAGCAACTGTAAGAAGAGAAAATTTAGTATGACCACTAAAGTGATCTAAATTAATCCATGAAAAAAAAAAAAAAAAAGCTATTTAGGAATAGGAGTGAGCATTTTCATATATGGAATTTAGATTAAAAAATTTTCATTTCGGGTAATTATTCGAATTACCTGATTTTTTTTTATCTAAATTTGTTTTACTCGATCAAACAATTCGGATAATTCGGGTTTTTTCATCACTCCATTCATATTATTTTTTACCCAATTTTTCTATATAAAAAATAAATAAATTAACTAGATAAAATTCGACCCAATATATGAGAGTTTTGATTAGGCAAAATTATGTTTAATAAAAACTAGAAGTCCATTAATTTTTAAAATTTATATAATATATAAATAACCAAAATAACAAAAAGCATAAATCAGGTCATCCAAATTTTTTTTCGTATTACCTAAATTATCAGAAATAAATTTTGGATAATTTGTAATTCTTCGAGTTACCCGTTCTCTATAATTTTTTTTTTAAAAAAAAATTATCCGAATTAATTCGTGTAATTCGTTTTTTTTTTTTAATAGCATTCACTCTTAGTTGGCCATAGACCAAACTGTCGAAAGTTTTTTTTTTTTTATTAACATCTTCAAAATAGTTTTCGCATATACATCCAATTAAATTTCTTTCCTTTCCAATGTTAGGGAGGCTAGCTATCCACCCGGGTTGATCTGAATTTGATTGTGCAAAGGTCATATGTTTGGAACTTAATTATAGCAAAATCATATCCATATTAAGAAGATTTAGTATCATAATTAAAAATTCATGCTGTCATGTTTGATTAAGTACAGTCTATATATACACATAAAAGATAAAACTTTCTTGCCTAATCTACCCAAATCATTATTTTTTAAAAAAAATAATGGTTAATTTCATTCCCCAAACTGGCCTATTGTCCTATCCCTGAGCAAGATCACATGAAAATTGAGGCCTGGATCTGG